AAATCGGTTCGCAAATCGCACCAAACGATTCATTCACGAATTAGAATGATCCGATTGCAGCTGTTCTCGAGTCTACAACTCACTGATTCAAATTAACCCGTTTAGTGCGAGTCTCCAGTGAACTGAATTCACAAGTAAGAACCGGGAGATCTTGTGAGCGCGCGCGTCTGATGCTGTTAAAAGTAAGTTACTAATGTCGAATTTTAGGATTAATTATTGTAACTGAAAATCATATTTAGGTCAAAGCTGTCAGTTGTTTGTGAACTAAATCTGCTGTAAAGGGTGATCTGTTTAAGCCCACTGAAATGCTTGAATGCAGACACATTAACATCAGAGTCTCTACGTTTTAGGTCAAAAAACATTAAAATAACACAGATTAAATAAAATAACTCATGCACATTGATCTTCCCTGCTGCTGTAAAGTTAGCAGTTTTACTAAAATGCTATGCATTTATAGTGACGTCTGTTTTTATATTGTTTGTCAGCACACATAGCGTAAGTTACTATGTATCTGGATCAACTAGCAGAGTAGACAAATATAAATGTTTATTCATAACCATGCTGAAAATAAGTCAATAATGAATAATAAGTCTAGCTAACGAGCTTGCTGGTGCTAAATTGAGGTAATTTTTAAAAAATAAAGTCCAAATATTTTTATGCAACCACCTGGATAGATTACATCTAAGGGAAAAAGAAAGGATGTGATGTGGAGAACATGGTAACTACAGTAATTATCAAAGTGGGAAGTGATGCCCTCTGGGGGCATAAAATTAAATGATAAAAGTAGCCTATATAAAACTGCAAAATGAATATTCATCTATCAGTACTTTTTACTTAAGTACATAAAAAATCAAGTACTTTTGTACTTTCACTCGAGTAAAATTGAAAACTGAGTACTTTTACTTTTACTGGAGTTATATTTTATTATACAGATCTGTACTTTTACTGAAGAACTTGATTTGTGTACTTCGTCCACCACTGGGAGGTAGACATTCATTCAATACTGGACCAGGAACTAAGAAAAGGAAACACTTTAAATACACAAGACATGATGAGGGGATGACAAGAAACCCCTGGGATCAATAAAACATAATAGGAACAGGAAACAGGAAGAACCAAATATGGGCATAAGGACACATGGGGAGCAAAACACACACAAAACATTGAACAGAGTCTGACATAATGTAAGTGACAAGAAAGCGAAACTGAAAGTAGGGGACTCCAACACAATATTAGGACACTTAAAAAAAAACATATGACCTGCTCTTTAAGCAATTTGTTGTATGAAATTTAACTTGTTTTTTAAAGTCTGTTTAATGTCATTTAAGTTTAACTGTCTTGTACAATCAAGTTGATTATACTTAAACAGTTGAAATAGGTGGAATTTTTTTTACAGTGTAGTTACTGTATTATATTTGATGAGTTTATATTAAGACCTTCTTTGCATTTTGACATTACAAAATAAGGCTACAATCCAATTGTCTGCACAAGGCATGTATAAGCTAGGCCCTATAGCAAGCTGTATATATCTTTAAAAAGAGCCTGTGAAACAGAATTTAAGTAATAAATCACAATTAATGAAAGGAAGTTTGCTAAAAACAAAAAACAACTTTATTGCATTTTTCTTTTTGGGTGAGATGAGCAGCTACATATTAGGGCTTATTGTTGAGAAACACAAAAAATGTAATCATTAACATAATTTATTTCACTATTTTGAAAAAATAAAACGGGCTAGCTTTTCCTAACTTAACATAATTCATGATATTTTGGAGAGAGATATAAGGTATAATTAGAAAATGTTTATGCTGTTTATTTGTGTTATAGTTTATTAGTTTAAACATGCAGCAAGAGTGATGAGAGTATCAAGATGGCTATATAGAAATAAGCAACTATATACTGTAATACCATATACATAACATACTACATATGTATGTAGTAATATAATATGTAGCCAAAATAACAAAAAGGGTTTTATGTTAATTCAAAATAGCAAAATCACAGTGCTGTTCATGTTTACGGTCTGCCATTTTTCTGTATTTGAAAGCAATTCTACTTTTCAACAATTAGCAATGCTTTCCCTTATCTTTCTATTAAAAGTGATTTAAAAATGAAACATCACAGATTCCTGTTAAGCCTGCACTAAAGTCAGCTTCAGGTCTCCGCAAATCTCCAAAATATCAATGTCCTTCAGCTTTGTGTAGCGATGTTTGTAAGTGTGTGCTTGTTTGCCATTGACAAACACATTGTAATGATGGGGATTGCAGGAGATGGTGACCTACAACACACACGAGTAATATTATCACATGGGGAGCAAAACACACACAAAACATTGAACAGAGTCTGACATAATGTAAGTGACAAGAAAGCGAAACTGAAAAAAAAACTTTATTGTTTTTAAACATGAACACAGGTAGATAGATATTAAAGTTCACAGTAATAAAAGACCACAGATGGATCTCTACTGTCACCCTGACTTAAATGTAATGTCAACAGAGACAGAGATATTTATACATTGTAAAAAAGCAACTCATGGCAACTTATGTTTTTACATTAATTTACTCATCAAAATAAGTTAAAGAGCAGGTCATATGGGTTTTCGAAAAATATCTCTTTTGCAGTTTGTAAGGTAGCTATCCTTCAAAACATCACAGATTCCTGTTAAGCCTGCACTAAAGTCAGCTTCAGGTCTCCGCAAATCTCCAAAATATCAATGTCCTTCAGCTTTGTGTAGCGATGTTTGTAAGTGTGTGCTTGTTTGCCATTGACAAACACATTGTAATGATGGGGATTGCAGGAGATGGTGACCTACAACACACACGAGTAATATTATTTTCAACTCACAATGACAGCATCAATAAAGTAATACATGTTCATGGATGTAAGTGTGCCTACCTGGAAAGGTTGTCCTTTTTGAAACGGCAAGCCTCCGGACCGTTCCTCCGTACCCCACTGCTCCATCTGATTGGTGTTGCGCACAACCACTCTCTCATCGAAACGAGGATTATAGTGCAATGCAATCCCACTTCTGTAGCGCAGGTTAAATGTTATTCTAATGGAGGAAACAGAAGAACAGGACACTTACATCTTAAAATGAACAGATTTACATTTTTGTTTAAATATGTAACATTAGTTACAATTAAAATAACAGTGTGAGTCCGTCATCTGATGTCTGACCTGTTAGCATTGGGATTGATAACTCCGTGGATGACAATGTTTTTGCCAGGGTGAAGTCCACCATTGATGACAGTTTTGTACGGGATAGTCTAAATGCGAGTCAAGATAAAAAGATATTTATAAATGAGTTTAAATTAGTGACTTTAAAGTCATGTAATACTTAAAATCTTCAAATAATTCAATTCAAATGTTTCATTAAAAATGAAAATCAAAAATGGCTGATTTAAAGTGGCACTGGTTTTATGAACAACATCTAGAACTTTTAAATCTGGTCTACTGATGAAACCTAAATAAGCTTATTATAGCAAAAGAATCTAAAATGAAATAATGAATGAATGAATTAAAATCTTATTAGAAGTGCAAAAGGAGTTAATGGAGAAAAACTGCAGAACTATTGCAAAAAAGACAAGGACAGAAAGGTGAATGTCCTAGAGTGGCCATCAAAAGTCATGAACGTACTATGAACATGCAAAATAAAATTTTCAAGTTTCAAGAAGCTTGGCAGATACCCACGAAAACATAAATCTAATTATAACTATTAAAATAGGTTAAAAACTTATGAAGTGTCACACTGAAAGCACAGCTTTTTTATATTTATCTGAATCTCGTCATGCATGACTTTCAGCTGTGCATGGTAATGTGATTTCTTGTGGTGAGAGTTGCTCTTACATAGTTGGGTGCAGATGGGTATGCCGGGAACTGTGGGTAGATAACACTGTATTTTTATCATTTTCTCATACAGGACAAGCACAATGTGATCTCAAAACTGTTACTGAAAGATATGGGAGACTGCAAATGTCGTGCTTGAGCAAACAACAGCACCTTAGTGAGCACTTTCAACACTTTTCAGAATGATATAAAATAAATTATTAATTATTAACAACATCACAAATAAGAGCACTGTTAAACACAGATAACATAGAACAATGGAGTTTTCTAAATGCTGACATGGTCAACTAACTAAAACGAGAAGTTGTGTGCATTGACACTTAGCAGAGGTGAAGATGTCATCATTTTCTGGAACCATAGTTGACACATTAACCTTGTCACACCAAATGAGGAAAAACAAGTATATTGTCTTTCTTCCAACCTTTCATTTACATTATGTTGCAGGTCTTTTAATGGCTGTAGAATCCAATAAGGCATTGTGTGGGTTTTGTAGAGCACCAATTAAATCATAAAAGACAGATATAACCTTCATATGTAAGAACCTTTGATCTCTGTTGATCACCATAAAGGTGTCACATGACATATTTGATGATGTATTAAGCACTTACCCCACATCCTGGAGGGACAGCATACTGAGGCTGTAGATGAAAGGAACAGCAGTTGTTTATGACAGGAAAACTGCAATAATGTCCTTACTTAATGTTGTTCAAACAGATTTTCTTCTCACCTGATATCCTGCTTGAGGTGGTATATAACCCTGAAAAGATAATATACAAAATGCATTCAAAAGACATTGCAAAGCTATGCTTGCCAAAGAGCTGTATCGGAGTTTTATCTCAAAATTAGACACAGTATGAGCTGATATCCATCTGTCTTACAGGTACTGGGGGATAGTACTCACTGGAAAGGCTGGTTGTGGAGGAAAATAAGGCTGCAAAGAAAAAAAATGTTTATATGTCATATTACATTCAGAAATGTTATTTAAATAAACAGTGGGCCTAAAAGTATTCAGCCAACACACATATATTGCTTTAATGTGAGGAACTGCACTTGTGATTACTTAATACATCCATTACAAAAGACACTGTCACAGACAAAAGTCATTTCAAAACTAGCTCAAAAGTGAAGTTAGTTCTGTGAAGAGTTCTGCAGTGGCAACGCATGTATTTTAGTTCTCACCGCAGGATTCTGGAAGGCAATAGAGTTCAACTCCACCATTCCCTCCACCGAGATAGTGTCCACCTGAGTGTATGGAATGCGGTGTCTATAGTCCATGAAGTGTCTCCCATTAGTAGATATCTAAAGAGAACCGTCATAAAATTCATAAATGAAAAGAGGTGAAATGCCTTTCAAATAATGAACTATTTATCGTTCTGCTGATTAAAAAGAAAGACGCCAATGGCTACTCTTTAGAAACTGCAAATCTGAGAGTGAATGACCTTGTACCTTGTATTTGCCCTGCTCAACAAGGATCTGGAAGGTGAATGTTTGGCCTTGGGGGAAGGGAGATTCATATTTGCGCTCCTCTGAGCCCCAGCACCTGCTCTGGAAGGTGTTGTGCACTACATACCCAGAGCTCTCATAGCGTGGGTTAAAGTGCAGAGCAATATCAGCCCCAGAATGAGAACCACACTGAAGGTTCACATGAAATCTGCAGGACAAAAAGGAATGAGAAAGGAATGGGTAACAAGGAAAGTGTGATTGGATCGTCTCATCTCATCTCTGATCTGATATGTTCTAAAATAGTTGCAAGGCTCACGAAGTGACACCTGAATTGGTAAATAATTATTTAAACATTAAAATTGTACTACTAAAAAAAAACACCAAGAGCACTTTTGCAGCGTATGTTAAAGGAAAACAGCATATTGTGGTTGCTCAACACTCTTTGAAAATGAGAATAAAACTCTTTCATGTTCTTGAAAGCTATCATTAAACATTATTCCTCACCTGTTAGCCCCTGGTAAAACCCGTCCGCTTAAGATAATGCTCTTCCCGTCCTGCAGGCCTCCCTGGATTTGGCCACTGAATGGGATTCTCTGTGTTGATGTAAATAGTATAATATGACACATAAGTACTCACCTAGTGCACAGTCTGCATCTGCCCTGAGGAGCTAATACCCAATAATGTGAATAAATTATTAAAATGGCTCGTTTAATATATGAAATTGGGGCATGGATGCCATATGGAGAGCAGAGCTAGTTTTCACACGCCAGTAGAGAAGGGCACACAAATGTGTGTGGTTTCAAACACCTAGTCATTAGATTAGAATAGCCTATGTGAGGTCCTCCAAACTTAAACTTCAATATCACCTCGGGGCACGTTGTCACATTTTGTAAATGTATTTATTTATTTTTTTTTGACGTTTGTAGTTTTATAAATATTTTAGAGTTTCGATTACTCGAGGCATAATCCCAATGTGAAAATTTACGCCACCACACCGTGTGACAACATGCCCCGCTTCCTCAACGTGCGTACACTAACGAACTGAACCGTTTTACTGAACGGTGAAAATGTCCATTTAGGCTAAAAAAATGAGAAAGCAAGGAGAGGAAAAAAGAAAAAAAGACACCCCATCCTAGGCTACTTGTTGCATAACGGAGTTTTAATTGTGCATGCAAAACCACATAACTTTAAATAGTGTAACGTTAGTAGCTAACGCAGAAAAGAGGAAGTACGACAAAGAAAATAGCAAATAAAGGAGATATACTGATAAGCCATGGCTTATTATGACGCCATATGATCATTTTTGCAAAAAAACAAACAAACAAAAAACAGTCACTTACCGGGTTGTAAAACGGTTGTTGCTGATAAAAAGCCATTCTATCAGTTCTTACGTTCCTGCACCTTTAAGTGTGTAGTCAAGAGAGAACAAATGGAAAGAGAGCAGTTCGAAGAACAGCAAAGATTTAAGAACCACCTACAGATGTCCGGTTTCTGATTAAAAACACGTCATGTTTCGATTTCTCCATAAGGCTAGGAACTTGGCCAGTGTCCACTGGCTGTACATGGGCTTCTACGTGTTGCTTTTCCTAATGTTGATCAATGTAAACGTTTATTCACTGATCAAACCCAGGAGGAATGTTATATAGCCTATAAATAATAGCAATACGTTAGCTAGCCTACATAAAATAGACACAAGATGGTCATTTTAGGGGAGAGAGTTAAAACAGATAAGGTCACGTCTCACGACGTGCTAAATAGTTATTTTAGGAATATTTGTAGGCTATTAACTCTTACTAACTTACTAACTCTTTATAGCCTACTATTTTCCGGGGAAAGTAATTTTATGGCATACTTTCAGGAAACGTTTTGTCAAACCAGATTACCAGCTGTTTTGTACCATTTTTGTACAACCCAGAGCCATAAGATAATGCTGTGTCAGAGGAAATGTTCAAAGCTGTACAGTAAAAGGAGCAGTCAATATGTGATTTTTTTTGTACAGAAAAACAGTTTTGGAATTTAACCGTAGACAGATGTAAATAATAGGCTACTACAAATACTATAGCCCCAGTACACAGACAAGGGATTTACTGGATTTTCAATGGAACATTTCTTTCTGATACATAAAACTCCTGGAAGTATATTAAACTACACAACATTAACAACTAAGGGTATGTTTGTTTTTGAACAGGGTGAATTTGCGGAAAATGTCTGTCAAATTACTAAAGTACTAAATAGGCTAGTACTAAATTAAAGACAAAATGCAATTTCTGATTTCAAATATGAAAAACATCTTACAGATTGTATATATATGTAATATGTATAACCGTAGTAGATAAGATTCGAAGTAGCCTAGATTAGATTGATCAGTTGATTATATACCCCTGGTTTCACAGACAAGGCTTAAATCTAGTCCCAGAGTAATGCATGTTTGAGCTGTCTCAACTAAAAATATCTCGCTCTGACATATCTTAAAATATGTCAGTGCCATTGTTCTGTCTTAAGATACACAGCTGTAATGTTTTTTTTTTTTCTAAGGCTTTAAAAAAAAAAAGCTGCTTAAATATCTTAATTTAACTAAAGCCTAGACCTGGCTTAAGCTTAGCCCTGGCTGTGAAACCAGACTATAATTTATTTTGCAACACTGCAAAAACACTGTCTCACTCCGTTTCATGAAATGGAAAAAAATATTTCAAATGTTTCATTTGTTTATTTCTGCCAGGATAAAATTACACTGTGTTTACAGACAAGTGGCTATAAGCTTTACACAAATATTAACTCATAATTACATAACATTAAAACCACAAACTCATTCTAGAAATGTACAATTTGTGTTCGACACACTTTGTATATAAAGAGCTGTACAACAGGAGTAAAGTACCCTTTCAAAATTTTTCGATGTACAAATAATATAAGAATTCTTAGCTGTACAATAAATAAAAACAATAGTTCTCTATTCAAATTCCTTTAAGTTGTCATGGGAACAGTCACTGCCATCTTCACCATCCTCTCATTGTTCATAACACCACAAATAAACCACTCAAAACTCTGCATGCACACTCTCACACACTTTCTCTCTCACACACTTTCTCTCTCACACACCCACAAATTAAAACAAGAGGTATTAGATATTAAAAGTTCCTGAACATCATCCTGCTGGGTCAAAATATTTTTCATTCTTCATATTACAAATACCTCATCAGGATCCTTATTTTTGAGGCTCTTTATCCATCCTGGAAGGGCTCAGTAAGTCAGATTAGCATCCGGTAAATGATTATTCATTTAAATCTTAATTTTGAGCAAATACATGGAATATGGAAGTCACTTTTTTTTTTTTTAAGAGTACAGGAGAAAGTTTGTGGACTGTAAAAGCTGAAGGCCTGTCCTATAAAAAGAGCAATGGAAATCACATTCCATTCATCTGACGGCACATGAGGAATTTGAAACGGCAAAACGTGGCAAAGTCTGCTAGCTCAATAAATCTGCTGAAAGCCTATCAGCATATTTTCAATTTACAAAGTTTAGCTGAAATGGCTTTGCTCAGTGTTAGAACAGGCAAAAGTTTAAAAGCCTAACAGTTGCCAGAGATGGGACTACTATAAGAAAAAGCATCACAAAGGTGAACATTTTTAAACATTTGTAAGACACTCAATTACTCAGTTGTTTTCTTTGAATGCAGTAGCCATGCTAATGTTAACAGCAGCTGTGGACAAACCCTCGTATTTGTAGACATAGGGACAACGAGAGCGGAGGCCTGAACTGCAGTGCTCACGCAGACAGTGGTGATGCCATGCACTGAACATTCAGCCAATCAGAGAACAGAAGGAAGGAAAATACGGAGGAGAAAATAAAGTGACATGTGAAATATGAAGATTTGGAAGAGGTTGGTGGCAAGAAGAAAGGTTGAGACATCAAGATGGAGACAGGAACGGCAGATGACAGAGGGGATCACAAGTTTGTCCCATTCCCAGTGCGGAGAGAAACCCACAAGAAAAACAGCAGAGACAACATACACAAATATAAAAAAAAAATTACAAAAGGTTTTTCAGGGATGTCAACTGCTTGTGCTGATAAATAATAATAAATCATTTTATATTATATAATGTATTACATTATATAATTATTGTCATTAATATTATTTTAATTATTATAAATTCAGATTACACTCTTTTAACCACAGTCTAACCATCGTTTTAAACGTAAAAGGTGAATTACTGACCACAGGCCAGATATTTGGGCATATAAACATATTCAAAGTGTAACAGGTTAAATCAATAAGCACCTTCCCTCTGAACTACTCCTATTATCTGCTTCTATATAGTAAATAATAAACGATAAATCACACAAATCTTCACACATCTGCAAACCAGACCAATCATTCATATAACGGGCAAAAGCTTTGGTAGCATAAAAACGCTTTTTCATTACTGTCACTTATTGTTATTTTCCGCACCATATGATATCAGGTTTGTACGGAGCCCCACACATGATATGCAAGAAAAAATAAATAAATCGTGCGCACGATTTACTAATTTGTTCCCTCGATGTACTAAAACGTGCACACGATTATCATTTCGTTCCCTCAATTTGCTAATTCGTTCCCTAGATTTGCTAAATCGTGTGCACAATTTACTAATTCGTTCTCTCGATTTATAAATTGTGTGCACGATTTAGCAAATTGAGGGAACGAAATAGTAAATCGTGCACACGATTTAGCCTACTATTTTTTTCCTGCATGCCATGTGCGGGGCTCCGTAGGTTTGACCAAATATATAATGGTTGAATCCATGCACAGCATCCTTCTGACTCTCGTTACACTAAAAATCCAATGGTGTAAAATTAAGTAGGCTCAGAATAGAGACAAAAAACAATGCACAGGTCGGCTCCAAACGATCAGTTAGTTTTCATGCTCCCTAAACTACACCCCCAAAAAAGGGGGATCCACAGCATGCTAGCTTTCCAGACTAGGATACATACTCCTCAGACTTCCAGAAGTGCCCGGGGTGTGAGAGTCTGCGATTGAGCTTCGGCAACTTCTCTAGTAAGTCTGACAGCTGAGTGAATGTGGGTCTGTCCTCAACCTTAAAGGACCAGCAGGCTGACAAGATCTCCTGCAGTGTGAATACAATGACCATGTTAATATTATTTTGTGTGTGAGTATATATATATATATATATATATACTTCAGTCGGTTGGTTAACGATAGGCCATTCTTTAGCCTGGAGTTCATACCAGATAGTGCTGAGACAGAAACATTCAACTGATCAACTTCAGTGTTGGTTTGCAAAATATTGTAACTTGATTTTGATCAAGCCTTTACAATGAAGGACCAATCAGATTTTTTAAAGCAGAAATGAAACTTTAACACCAAAACCAAATGTTTGCATTAGAGGCCCTGTATATGTGATGCAGATGTGGGAAAAGAGATGTGGTTTTTACCCAAATGCATAAACATCAGCAGCTTTTGAAAAGGGCAAACAGTCTTGGTTTCCTGGTCCCATCTTTTGCACGACCTCTGGAGCCAGGTAATAGATCCACCCTCGTGGAAGCTTCAGTTCATTTTCCCGCCTATAAGCAAACACATACGATAATGAAGTTCTTAACAAAGCATACTATATAACAAGACTATTTTAGTTTTATACCACTGGAGTAAATGACATACACCCTACCTGTCCTCCTGGACCACTCCAGACATCCCAAACAGACCGAAATCGGTGATGACCACTTTGTTTGAATCGTAAAAAACATTCTTAGATTTTAAATCTTTGTGCACAATTCCCTTTGCATGGAGGTAACCCATTCCCTGTAAAAGGTAAAAGACACGAAACAAAACAAAACAAAACCGTTGTTAATGTGATTTGAGTTAAAGAAGCAAAATTTATGATATAATGGTCAGATTGTTTTGCTGCTTTACAGTTATTACATTTTGATGAAAGACTACAAAGACATTTTTTGGATAATAACATGCACTGATAAATCATTCAAAATAAAGCCAAGAACATGTATTATATGTGATGATTCCTACCTTCACAATTTCCTGAGCGATTTGTCTTATCTTGTTGATGTCAAGTTTAGAATCCCTGACAACCGAGTAGAGCGTCCGTCCTTTACAAAAGCTGCGGCAGGACCATAATACATAAATACAGGAACATAAATACATTACAATCAAAACGCAAATGCTCCTATATATTATCACATACTACACATTCAAAACATACACACTACCATTCAAAGGTTCGGAGTAAGTTTTTCAATGTCTCTAATGTCTAAATGTCTCTAATGCTCACCAAGGCTGCATTTATTTGATAAAAATACAGTAAAAACAGTAATATTGTGAAATATTAAACTTTAAAATAACTTTTCGGTTTTAATATATATTAAATATATTATATCGCGTTTGGTCTCGTTCTGTATCGCGTATCTTGTCAGTGTCTGCGCTTGCTTGGCCATTTGTTGTGAAAAAATTTTGTTAGACGGGTATAAAAAAGCTTAGTTTACCGCGACAGCGGTCGCAGCAGCTGTCGCGTGAAGGCCTCCTCGTGTGCAAACCGAAGAGTGTAAAGACCATTGACTCTACCGTGCGACTCCACCGAATGAAATAATATATATATATTGAATTTATAAATGTGTATGTACATGTACAGTATATATGTATGTGTGTGTGTGTTTTTTGGTGTTTGGCTTAGTGTTATGTTAGAATCATTATTATACTCTTATACCTTTTGTTCTTTAATATTTTGAATTGTTTTTAGCTTTATTTTTTGTTTTTCATTTATGTTAAGTTTTTAAATTTTGTTGTATGCATTTGTCATTTTTATTTAATCTCTTTATTTTTAAAATGTGTATAGGTAGTATTTATAAAGTGTTAGCTTTTAGTTTTGGATCTGATTTTAGTTGTTTTAATACTACAATTGATTGCTTCTGTTGTCCTCATTTGTAAGTCGCTTTGGATAAAAGCGTCTAATAAATGACTAAATAAATAAATAAATAATATACTTTAAAATGCTATTCATTTCTGTAATGAGAAAGCTGAATTTTCAGCGGTCTTCAGTGTTACATAATCCATCAGAAATCATTCTAAAATGCTTATTTAGTGCTCAGGAAACATTTATGATTATTACCAGCTGTGCTGCTTAATATTTTTGTGGAAACAATGATACATTTTATTCAGGATGGTGAATAGAAAGAACAGCATTTGTTTAAAACAGAAATCTTTTGTAACATTATAAATGTCTTCACTGTCACTTTTGATGAATTAAATGCATCCTTGCTGAATAAAAATATTAATTTCTTTACATGAATGACACAACATTGAGAGAGCTGAGAGAGGCGAACCTGGTGATAATGGCCAGATGAGGCGGGTTCATGCAGGCCCCCATAAACAGCACGACGTTCTCGTGTCGCGTTTGCCGGTAGTTCATCACCTCCTTCTTGAACAGCTTTAGGTGCTCCTGGTTGTTACCATCAATCTCTAACAAGCGAACGGCCACCTCTCCATGCCAGCGGCCCCTGCACACCTTCCCCCAGCGGCCTTTACCGATCAGCTCTCCGAGCTCCAGCTGCTCGAAAGGCACATCCCACTCCTGCAGGTAAACGCTGGTCTGGCTGGCCTTACGGCTTATGTGGTCCTTCCAGTAGCCCCTGCAGTTGGGCAGGTCATCCACTTCATCGCCTTCACTTTCATCGTCCGAACCTTCCTGATCCTGACCGTCGTTCTCTTGCTGCTCCTCATCCTGAATGAGAAGAATAATAACCAATTTATTCCATTCTAGGGCTAAATGTATATTTCATATTCACATAATCCTAAATCAGTTTTGATTTTGTACAATTCAAAATTTAGATGTAAGTTAAATTCAGTACTGTCTTTTAGTGGTCAGGGTCACTACCTAACACCACTGTCCACACAAAATCATGTGACCACCACGATAAACTGGAAATGTTGCCCACAAATACTTTCAGTTCCTAGTAGCTCTGTGGGTGGACATGTTTCTTGCGGCACTCACCACAGCTTCCCGTTGGCCTGTTGACAACTGGTTGACATTACCATCCAACTGATCTGTTTCTCTGCATGGAAGAGAGGACATACTAAACTTAGTGGTCATTTACTAATCACTTTTAAATAGTTATCAGAACTATGTATGATATACAGTATGATCTAGACCATTTACCTAAGGATAGTTCACCCAAAAATCTAAATTCTGTCATTTACTCAGCATTATGCTATTCTGAAGCCATGTGATTTTTAATATAGATCACAAATAAAGGAAATACCGCAGAACGTATCATGGTTTGATGTCAAATGTCATTTGTCTTGTCATTCACAAAAACCTCATGAGAAACAACTTGACAGTCCACGTTTGAATTAAGTATTTGAGGTAGTGTTATTTTAGTATCATATATTTAGTATATATAGTATTATATATTTAGTATATATATATATATATATATTAGGGCTGTCAGTTTAACACGTTAATTAGTTATGAAAAATAACGCGATTAAAATATTTTAACGCAGTTAACGCACAGGCTCCGCCCCCCAGACCTGCTGTTTGAGTGCAAATGCGACTTTACACAACAGTTCAATAAATAATAAGTTAATATTGTGTTGTATTTTAAACACAACTGTTTTTGTTCAGTTTTGCCAACAAAGAATATTACCTATAAAGTCACAGCAGAATTGTGCATCTGTGAGCAACACAGCAGAGTTTAGTTTCTGAATGAATCCGCGTTTTGAACGAATCGTGTGAACCAATGATTCAAAGGCCAATTCATGAAGTGAGCCGTTTACTGAATTCCTGAATGAATCAGCCGTTTGAACGAATCGAATGAAAGATTCATAAAGACATTTACCGCCAACTGCTGGCAGTTTTAGTTTCTTATTTAGGGTATTATTTCATTAAAAAAGGGTGGGAAAATGGGGGGAAAAACTTTAAAGGAATAGTTCACCCAAAAAATGTTAATTATGTCATCATTTACTCAAACCTGAATGACTTAGCCTACTTTCTTTTGTGTAACATAAAAGAAGGTATTTTGAAGACTGTTGGTTACAAAGCTGTTTTGGTTACCAATGACTACCATTGCATGAACGAAAAAAAACTGAGCTGTTTCTCAAATTATCTTCTTTTATATTCCATAGATTATGTTAGGCCGTGGTAGCCTAAACGTTTAAGTGCAATAAATTTTATGTTGAATCTAAAATATTTCTTTCTAAAGCTACTATTTATAATGTGTACTTAATACTTTCTCATTTAACACAAAAATAGCATTAAATAATCTTTTGGGGGTATTTTCATAGACAATTGTAATTTGCGATTAATTAGATTAATTAATCGACACATCATGTAATTAATTAGATAAAAAATTTTAATCGACTGACAGCCCAAATATATACACTACCGCTCAAAAGTTTGGGATCAGTAAGACTTGTAATGTTTTTTATGCTCATCAAGGCTGCATTTATTTTATCAAAAATACAGAAAAAAAAACAATAATCTTGCTAAATGTTATTACAATATAAAATAATTGTTTCTATTTTAATATACTTTAAAATATAATTTATTTCTGTGATGCAAAGCTGAATTTCCAGCAGCTATTACTCCAGTCTTCAGTGTCACATGATCCTTCAGAAATCATTCTAATATGCTGATTTATTATCAGTGCTGGAAACTGTTGTGCTGCTTAATATTTTTTTGGAACCTGTGATACTTTTTTTCAGGGTTCTTTGATGAATAAAAAGTTAAAAAGAAGAGCATTTATTTAAAATATAAATCTTTTCTAACAATATAGACTACCGTTCAAATGTTTGGGGTCAGTACATTTTTATTCTCACTTTTTTTTTAAATAAATTAAAAATTTTATTCAGCAAGGATGTGTTAAATTGATAAGAAGTAATAGCAAAGATTTATATTGTTAGAAAAGATTTATATTTTGAATAAATGCTGTTCTTTTTAACTTTTTAAAAGGAAACTTTTAAAAATATTATTCTAATATTTTAAGATACTGGATTTTTGACTTTCATGAGCTGTAAGCTCTAATCATCAAAATTAAAACAAAAAACGTTTGAAATGTTTTACTTTACATGTATGAATCAAGAAAATAGCAAAGTTTCACTTTTTGTAATAAGTTACAAAAAAAATAACTTTTTGATGATATTCAAATTTTTTGAGATGCACCTGTATGTATATGTATATATATATAGGTATCAAATGGCTTTGAGCTACTTTTACAGTGCTTTTTTGTCAAAGACATCCTCTTTTGTGTTCCACTGAATAAAATCAAACAAACAGGTTGGGATTAACATAAAGGTGAATAAACAATGGAAAGTATTTGTGTGAACTATCCCTTCAGAGCATCTTTGAAGCATTCATCATGAGTTTGAACTTGCAGGAAAAATTCTACAGAAGTCAGTGCTGTCACAATGGTTCCATGTGAACTTAGTGCAACTGATTCATTCAAGATGAGGCAATAACCAAAAATGTGTGCTGTTCAGCTACAGTTAAGAAACATGCAGAGTAATTATAATGTACCATGAAGAACCAAAACCAATGAAACTTGCATTTCAATTGCCTGGGGTCAAAATATTTCTAGAAATACTGCAGAAACAGCAATCGAAAAGTTTTGTTTTACCCGGTGTTGCAACCTCCATCTGAATGCGTGGAACTGGATACGTCTGCAAGAAAAAAGGGATTCTTGAGTCATATGTGACATTAAACGTTCAGATTCCATGTAAATGTGCGCCAAGTAATTCTACTCCACTTAAAGTTTTGAAGTTGAAAGTAGTTGCTGTTCAAAGCTTCCTGATATTTTTTATTTTTTTTTTAGGATTCCATGATGAATTGAAAGTCCAAAAAACACCATTTATATATAATATAGAATTTTTGGTAACATCATTTATAAATGTCTTTGAATATATATATATATTTATTTATTTTTTACTCATGAACATAGTGTATATGCCAAAGTTTAGGGATTTGAGCAATATTAATAGTGATGCATGCTAATAACTTGGTGCACCTTTAATATAATACAACTAAACAACTGAATGACATATCTTTTAGGTTCTCTATACACAGCACAAGAAGCACACAGAGAATTGATAGTAGAGACCTGCACTCCCGCGGGAGTACCGCGGCACCCAACGCAACAGGGTGCAGCGCGGGACAACTCTTGATGGGCGAGTGCGGGTGTGGGCGGGAAGAGACTCGTGTGTGTGCGGGATGCGGGAGAATAAAATTATTCGTGGGACTGCCGCAAAATAGAAATGATCTAAACATAAAGTGTCTAAAACATATACATTTTTATTTATCTGTTGCACAAAAGCAAAAAGAACAAATATACCTAAAACGGCTTGTTCTAACACGCCCCCACATGTTTATGTCACAATGTGGGAAGATTTGCATAACGCCGCCCAAATGTTCACGCAAAGAAAGAAGGCGTAACTTTTATTCTCGCTGTTACCGCCATGTTGTGGAGATACTGTGTGTTTCGTTGTGAAAACGAAACTACTTTGTTTGGCCTTCCAAAAGAGGATTATATCCGCTTCGTCATGCCTGGAGCTGATCCGTGCTGGTCACCAAATACACAAAATAATGTTCTTTTTAGCAGCATCATATGACTCATTTAACGCGCAAGATAGGCAGAGTTTCTATTTATAACACGTGTTTAAAGGGTTGCGCAATGTAGCCAATCACAGACTCAGCTGTTGATTTCTGGAACGCAATGGCCAACCAGAGGTGATTAAGTTAGAATCTACTCACCGCAGTGCTGAAATTGCGTGCTCACGAATCCTCTCATTTTAACACACGAAGTGTAGACACTGTGAAAGATTCATTGTGCATATGTTCATTGTGTTATAACAGAGCTTTATGAGATCGCGATGAACTGAGATGTCAGCTTTTAGTGGTAGCTAATAAAGGAAGCGCTGCTCGCATTCTGCCATGCCAAACCATGCACGTAGCAGCCCATTCTTGCTTTTCTGCTAAAAATAACAGTGGTTTGTGAATGTTGATGCTTAGCTTAAATAACAAATATTTTATCGGGAGCATTTATGCTGGGATGTTGTGGATCTTAGGAGATGTTAAAGAACCATTTAATGTAAATTTCTTTGATGTGCTGAAAAAAAATCTATATAGATTACTTTTATGCGGGCTTTTGCGGGCGGGAGTGGGACAAAACATGAATGTCGCGGGCGGCAGCGGGACCAGATAAGATATTTTTCTGCGGGATCAGGCGGGCGCAGGACAGAATCTTGCGGGAGCGGGACTGAAAAATCCGTCCCACGCAGGTCTCTAATTGAAAGCACAAAATACTGCAAAAAATGTAGCAATTCCCATAGATAAACACTAGAAGGCGACACACCACAGTATAAGCACTACTAGCAACTTTATCTCAATTTGAGTTCACTACAGTTGAAGCTCTCAGGTAGAGGTCTGCATTCCCGCGGCTCTCCCGCAGGAACCGCGGGACCCGACCGGATTTTTTGCACCGCGGGATTAAATTCCCAAATAAAACGCAGTAGCGGTCGGTAACTCTGGTGTAATTTGAACGGGAGCAGGCGGTCTAACAATATCCCGTTCCCGACGTCCATTTAGAACAGCATATCTGCGCTTTATTCTTATTGATCACCGATACAGCTTGCGCTCAGGAATGTTATGCACGGGCTGCACGCATGCTTTAACGTCACGCGTTTTATTTGTGGGGTCTGTGCGCAGCATGTGCATAACGAAGCTCAGAGCAGGCTGTACCTGTGGTAAATATACGGCCCTCAGACAGAACAGGCAGGTTGTCGATGAGTGACAGAGCAGAATAAGGATGGAGCAAAGTGTGGATGCATTGTCCTTGAAGGACGTTCAACTCGGTTTTGTTTATATTTTGCTTAGCCTATAATTTTAAATGAAATATGTCGTATTTATTTATTTTTCTCTGCGACACTTTTCCTACTGTGTTAACAGAAAAATGTCAAACAAATTTAGTATTTTGACAAGAGGAATAAACATAATAGGCTATTTTTTTTACAACCTACATTTACATTTTTTTTTCTCTCTGCGACACTTTTTCCCTATTGTGTTGTCAATGTTAAACGAATTGTATCCTGACAAGACGAATAAAAATAAGAAATACAATTTTTGTACAACATTTTTATTTTCTCTGACACTTTTTTCCTACTGTGTTGCATAAAATATTAAACTAATTTTGTGTCTTAAGATAATTAATCTAAATTCAAGTCAAAGTCAATAAATTCAAGACTCTTGACAAGACGAATAAAATAACATACAATTTTGTGCAGAATATACTTTTATTTGTCAGCCTCTCTCTCTTTCTTTCAGTAGCGGAAATTTAAATGTGAGATTCTGGAAACGAGATCTAAATTTAGCGGGAACGGTCGGGTCGGGAAGAAAATTATTCTAAGCGGACAGCGGGTGAACAAAGAGTGAATATATAGCGGGAGCGGGTGGGAGCGGAATAGAACCTTGCGGGAGCGGTACTAAAAAAAACAGTCCCGCGCAGACCTCTACTCTCAGGATCGGGAAACAGAGTTGAGTTGTCTCAAAACGTCAGTGATAACTCAACTAGGAACTCAGACACCACACCTTAAGATTAAATAACAGAGTTTTGTGGTGTGGAGGATTGTTAACTCACCAGGGAAAACAAACTGTTGTCTATGCTGAAAGTAGTAGGCAGCTATTGAGGGGACACATAGACAAATGTCCACAAGGAAAAAAGAAAGACCCGGTTAAACAACTTGCTTGTTATGCGTCAGCGAGAGTTACTTAAGCAGATATTAGTAGGTTAGTGTGCATTTATTGAAGAGGTTATTTCTGAGCATTGGAAACAAGAAAGGAGTGCTTAATAATGCTGTGCTACAAAAAGAGTGACATTCTGTAGTGCAGAGGTTTAAATGGGTTTACATGCGGGCGGCAAATAAGATCCCGTGGTATTGGTGTAAACAAGACTAACCTGGGAAGTGAAATCGACTGTCAACGTGACCCTTAGGGGAGGGGTTGGGTGGTGGGGTGGAAGGGAGGACACATATCTTAAAAAACCTTTTCCAAAAAACAACCAAATAAGGTGCAAACATGGATGTTTGAATAAATTAAATTGCCCCTATTATGCCATTTTTAAGGTTGCTAATATTGTTTTATGAGTCTCCTAAAACAGGTTTACATGCATGCAAGGTCAAAAAACATATATATAATTTTACCTAATTTCTAAATGATTCGTAAACGACTCGTGTGAAGAAGTTCAAAGAATCAGTCTCTCTAAACCCCCACTTTCCGTGAGCCCTCACTGCTGTGACTGGTCAGATGGCTCAGTCCTTTGTGATTGGTCCAGAGCCGTAAATAGAGATTGGCTCTGGATTGGTCTACCGCGTGTCGGAAACGAAACGCCCATTGCCATGACGGAATGACAGCCCTGGAGACTTGTCAATACATAGAAAAGATGGTATCGATTGTACCTTACCAATTCGAGCCAGAGTCTGATGATGAAACGGTTGAACTGGCTGATCTACAAGAGACTGATTCACAAGCACGACTGGAGCAGGACATTTCTCAGTGGTAAGTGTCAAGTGTTAACAAGTTTGTGACGACGTTTCCTGACGACTCGTTTAGGCGATTGCGAGCCGACTCTTTTTTTTGATAGACAATAACTTTATTTATCGTGCACCTTTGCAGATAGTTTATGTTCACATACAGCTACATGACATACTGCATGCAAGGTAATATTCGAAAAGGCATAATAGAGGCACTTTAAGACATTTTATAAAATAGCATTTCAATGACAAATCTTATAGGTAGTCACTAGCATCATAAAATGAAATTGTTAAAATAAATATAAAGATATAAAAATAATGTATTTTTAAAATAAAATAAAAATATAGGATATAAAAAAATGGATGTTTGAAACAAGTATGCCATATTATAAAATAGCGTTTCAATAAATCCTATGGGTACTCACAAGCATCACTAAATAAAAGTGCAAAAAATTTAAATAAAATAAAATTTATTTTTAAATTATTTTATTTATATGATATGATTTATTATTTATTTACTTTATATAATTTTAATAATACTAATAATTTTCCTTACTACTATGTAACATAAAAATCTTACAGTATTTTTAAATAATAATTACATACTTCATTGGCAATCACTAGCATCACCAAATGGAATTGCAAAATAAATAAAAAAAATAATTTTCCTAAATTATTATCATTAATACTACTACTACTACTACTACTAATAATAATAATAAATTCCCAAAATAATTATATAGGGTATAAAAATGATATTGTAAACAGTTATGACAAATTATAAAATAGCATTTCAAATCTTATGGGTTGTCACTAACATTACCAAATGGAATTGCAAAATTAAATACATAATTTAAAAATTATTAAAAATAAAATAATTAATTAAAATATTATATCATAACTTATCATTTATTCACTTAAAATAATAAGTTAGTATATATAAATCACACACACACACACACACACACACAGGTTATTGATATCTGACGGTACTGACTCTGTTCTTCTAATCTTGCTTGGAACTGAAAAAAAAAGAACTTTAGATCATCTGCAAAGCTGTCTGAATATACAGTATACTACATCTTGTACAAAAAAAAAAAAATCTTACATTGTGCAAATGAAATCCTGCACTTAGGGGCCTCTTTGGTACATTTATTGTGGCACTTCACCCTAAAAGAGATGGAGGCAAACGTTAGCAGGAAGATACTGGGAAATCAGATGTGGTTTTCCTAAAAAAAATCCTGTGTTTGCTTACTTGCAATGTTTGCATTTAACACCAAACATCATGTTCTTCTTGCACACCTGACACATCTGAGACAACCAGGACTTGGTCGAAAACCTTTAAGGAGGCACAATAAGAAAGCCAGTGTCAGTTGTGTTGGAAGTTGAAAGACAAACACGGATGTAAGAATGAAAACAAGGAAAAGTTCAATGGTCAGTACCTGTGTGTGACATCCAGACCAATATCCTTCCTCATGATTAGCGGAGAGCTTCCGTGGGATGCAACATTATCTATATGATGTGAAAGAAAAACAGATTGTACTCAAAATAGATTAAAATTGAGTTTAGTGTTAGCATCTCTAAGCTTTAGAGTTGACTGGATGAATTTTTCACTGCAGTGCATTCTGGGAATGAACAGTATGTGTAAAGCTAAATGCTAAATGACTAAAAGTAAAAAAGTAAAGTAAGTAAAGCTGCCTTTAGCCAAATCAACATATTTCATGAGCAAAAATAACGCAGATGTCTTACTGTAGCCTCATCTGAAGTGCACCTACAGTATGATGACTGAAAATGTTATCTAGGTAGGGAGCTCACTAGGTTTTGGAACACACAAACTTGACATTTACTAAAAAGCACTTACTTCTTACACCTGCGGGATCTCCCAGGTGACTGGGGGTGTTTGGTAGGATGCAGGGGGAACGGACAGACAACAGTGGTGACCGTGAGGGCGAGTCTTCCCAGCCGTTTCCTCCACCATTTACCTGCACGTTCAGAAGCGGCTTGTTTTTCTTCCCGCTCCTGCAGGCAAAAGGGCACAAGTCAACATATGATCTTGGTAGCTGACATTAGTGTGATATGCTATACTCCATTTAAATAGCATTTTGGTGTTTTTGTAAATTAAATGATAAAATAATGAATAATTAAAATAAATAATTAGAACAATAAATAGTTATCATTATAATAACAATTCATTAATTTAATTTAATTATTAAAAATGACTTTGGCATTCAGCTTTTATGACCTCATATTACCCAAGATACTACATGAATGGAACATTTGAACATAAAACAATAATTTTTACACTGCAGAACTATTTAATATGAACTTGTGTAAAACAAAAAGCATTTTACAATGTAACCTAAAATCATTAAGACTCATCACCTGCAACCTTTCATTGGAATTATTACAATGCAGCCAATTATAATTCCCAGAAAGCTCTCATAATGACTCGCTCTGCACCTCCCAGCAAGAAATATTTCTATAGTAGTTTAAATAAACACACATCTGCAGCTTAAAAAAATATTTAAAAAATGTGGTGCAAATGCAGGCGTGCAGCTTCACAGGCAGGGAGTTTTTGCGGTGGACTTCAGTTCACACACATATTATGAAGAGGAGGTCCAATCCTGCGGACGTTTATTGGCTCAGAGGAGCGGAAATGATCAAGCACTGGACGCCAGCGAGTCTGAGAAGGGGTCTGACCTCGGCCTTGTGCTAACGGGAAACACTGGGGCTACGTGAAGGGGCGGAAGGATGGGAGTGTTGAACTGCTCTCTAAAACCTGCCTGGAACTGGGCCATCAGTGATCTCAGATGTAGGGGTGTGCGATATATATCGTCTGCGATAATATCGTAATTGTTGTTTTAACGATGTGCGATTTGACATTATCGAGTATTTTGCAAAAACCATTCAAAACATCCCTGATGTCACAGCAGTCCACTCCCACAGACCGAACACACACTGGGCAAGTCAACACAGTATGATACACATATGAACAGTGGGAGCTAAAAGAATATGTAGAACATTTTGTCTAAAAAGGATTTCTTTATTTATGCTGCAGGGCTACAATTCGTTCCAAATTTTTGCTGAGTTAGGCAACATGTTGTTACGAGTAGCAAATGTTGTGCAATGTATAACTAAAATCCTCTGGATTTATAGAGTCAGCATCCTGTTCATTTTACATGCAATGTGGCAAAGATACAACATGTTATCATTATTTATTTCCCGTTTCAACCCTGTAGGACTTTATTTCTTCTGTGGAACACAAATGGTCAATTTTTTTTTTTTAATATCCTGTTCAATTTTCTTAGTATAATTAAACTGAATGAGGAAAGGGGCTGTCAAAATACCAAAATGCAAAAAAAAAAAAAAAACACCATGAAAGTATCATAAAAGTGTTCCATATGACTTTATTGATATATTTAAAAAAAAATCTTAACTGATTCGATAGCTTTGTGGAAACTGTAATTTATAATTTTTGTAGTGCTGTCAAATGATTAATAGCGATTAATCGCATCAAAAAATAAAAGTTTTTGTTTACATAATATATGTATGTGTACTGTGTATATTGCCGATATATCGTGCATCCCTAGTTTAGTAGTATTAGGTTGCATCAGGAAGGAAAAAAAACAATACATAACACAGGCTAATGGTCAAACAGATGTATTTTGGTTACAGATAGCGATGACAGCTTCATTATATTTATATACTGAATTGAAATTGGTTTTCTTTCTTGCATATACACTACCTTTTGAAAGTTTGGTGTCAGTACTTTATTTTTATTTTTTTTAATTAATACTTATATTCAGCAAGGATGCACTCACTTGATGACAGTAAGGACATTTCTAATGTTACAAAAGATTTCTAGTTTTAAATAAATGGCATTCTTTTGATCAAAGATTGCTGAATAGATATTTATCACAGTTTCCACAAAAATATTATACAGTAAAAATGTTTTTCAACATTGAAAAGAATCAGAAATGTTACTTGAGCAGCAAATCAGCTTATTAGAATGATTTCTGAAGGATCATGCTGCGGGGAGGATGAAAAAGGGTCCGTCAGCCCATCACAGTGAGGGTGGACGATTGTAGGGAAGTCCGTTGAGGGTAGAGCAGAAACAGAGACACAGGAACGAGGGGCAGGCAAAGCAGAAGAAGGGGGCCAGCTGGTTGGGCTGGGACTGTAAGACTGATGTGCACGCATAGAACAAGACAGCGGGTCAACAGAGGTACTGTCACGGTGAGTGGGTTCTGCTATCCACGGGATGCCCTCTTTCTTAAGTGCTGCACCTAAAACAGAAAGAGTGAGAGACAATTCAGAAGAAGGTGGATGATCAATGCAGGGCTCCAGACCTTAATTAAAGTGATTGCTTACCAGTGTAATTTTAGTGTTATTTATATCATTTTACAGTATTTAATACTATTTTGAATGAGCTTCATTTTAATATTTTTAGTTTTAATTTAAGTTATTTTGTGCATGTCATTTCTATTCATTTTCTATATTTTTATTTAGTTTTAATTGACTTTTAAAGTTTTAGTTTTAGAATTTTAGTTAGTTGCCAAGGCAATATTTATTTTTATTTTAGTTTATAATATTAATATGAATAATATTTAATATTAAATTAAATTAATGAAAAGTATTTTAACTTTAATAACAACCATAACAACCGTTGTTCACAAATGTGATCAAAATTAAACTTTTGTGATAATAATTTAAAATCTAGCTGCCATTGGCGATGGTCTGGAAAACTTTGTGTGCCGCCATATATGGTATTGTCAAATATCAATTCATAAGTATCTAATCATCATGCATTTTACTACATATTAAAATGTAATTTATTCATGTAATGGCAAAGTTGAATTTTCAGCTTTATGTCAGTCTCTGGTGTCACATGATCCGTCAGAAATCATTATAATATTCTGATGTGGTGCTCAAGAAAGATTTTATTTTATTTTTTTTAAGACTTATATTGAAAACAGTTTTACCTCTAATTATTTTTGTGGAAACATTGACACTTCAGGATTCTCTGGATAGAAAGCACAAAAGAACAGTATTTATTTGAAATAAAAATATTTTGTAAAATAATTTAATAAATTTATAAAATGCATCCTTGCTGAATAAAAGGTTGTTTTTTTTACTAATTTGTCTACTTTTTTTTTTTTTTACTTACATTATCGTAGACTTTATTCTAAAATACTAAAATGGCCAACAGCTAGAATCTGAGCCTAGAGCAGGAAGTCCTAGTGTTTTTGACGAGTGTAAGGAGCAAGGAAGTCACCTGTGTCAGTAGCGCTCTTGAGACAAGAGAGGGCAGCGGTGATGCGGGAACACTCCTCACTGCTAGAGCCCAGTCTTTTCATGGTGTCTTCCACCTGCACACTGGACATTTGCAGCAGAGCATCCAGAGACAGCTTCACAGGGACTGCCTGGAAGACAGAAGAAGTATTAATCATGGCATAGGCAGAAAGGGACACTGGTGATTAATTGCGCATTATTCATCCTCATACATCTAAACTGATAGCACTGACTCAATGCCTCCGTATTATCTTATTTGGCCAGTATTTGACTAGAGTCTATGGTATTTCTGTGGCTGTAGACAGACAGAATGGAGTCTATATACTAAATAGAGAAAGATTAGGTGATAAAGCCCCCTGGAATCCCCCCACCACCGCCACTAAGACTGCTGGCATCTCGTGGCACCAGACTGAGCCAGTGTCCAGATACCAGTTTTCTTTCTCTGTCCGCCTGTGTCTGTTCCATTCCTCCACCCTACAACATTCCTGCACTCTTTGGCATCTCCCTGCCGTATTTCAATTCTCACCCAAAACACACACACACACACACACACACACACACACACACACACACACACACACACACACACACACTCTTACTCAAATGCATGACAGAGAAGCTGCCCAGCAACAGTGTTAATTGTGGCCAGTGTAGTCTCCATGGTAAATGAATAGATGAGGCCCTTTGGTCGAAAGGATCAAGGGAGGTACAAAAAGTCTATCGACAGACAAAACAGGGTGAATAAGATTAATCAATACAGGGTTTTGATTATATAGCACACATCAACATACAGCGGTTTGAGATTGTGGAGTCAAACGTTGGTAATTAACAGAATGGACAAATGAGGTGAACAGCAATGCTTGTGTGTCTGGTCCAGGGGAATCTTACTACCACTGCTGTGTTTACTGATAGCAGGGATATATGTGTGTGTGTTTCACACACAGCTACTGTATATAAGATACACTTCAAGGACACATCTGATAATTAAACGTTGTGGAAGGTTTTCCATTTCCCAAAGTTACCCTCCCTGAGTGACCCTGGATTGAGAGAATACTCAGACACTCTGAATTTCTGATCAAATTTTCATCTCCAACACTCTTTACTCCATGCAAAAATCACACACTTTAATTTCACACTATTTACTGTCATCAATCAAATGATAGAACCAAAACTAAAGGTTGTAATATAGAATACATCAGTGTTGCTATTGATAACTAAAATTAATTTTAAAAAATTATAGTAATACAAAAAAGTTGAAATAAAATAAAATAGAAATATTAGATGAAAATTTTTTATTTAAAAAAACTTGAAAAACTGAACTAAATAAGTTTAATAAATTTACAAACAAAAATAGAAATAAATTAAAGCTTAGCAGAAATATAAAAGCAATAAAGATGGCAAAAGCATCTAAAATTACTGAAACTAAAATAAAACTAAAAATATAAAAATAGAAGCTACTATATAAAAATCAAAATATTAATAAATATTATAATAGTTTATAAACAATACTAAAAAATAACACTGGACTATACAAATATTCATATAAATATAAAGCTGTTTCACTTTAAAAGAAAAAAGTATCCGCTGTATGCAAAGTGATCCCAATGTCTCTGGAAATGAAGATTACATTGCCTTTAAAATAAGGGCACCAAAAGAAAAGCTAAAAAACAAAATCTAAAAGGATACATAGAGATCTTTAATACTTCTGGAGTTACAGCAATGCAAGCATTGTGGGGGAAAAAGTGCAGAAATTTTTTCCCTTTTATTTTTGAACTGTCACCATTGGCATTCAGAAAAACATATTAGCAAAATCAAAAATGTGAGCTGAGGACGTTTTTGAAATTTGGTTGATTTGACACGGAATGACCCAAATATATTTTAATATATTTAAAATGTATTTAGTCTGTAATAAAAAAAAATAAAATAAAAAAAAAATGTAATTAAAATATTTAAAAGCAACAAAAAAAAAAAAGAAGATGAAGGTATATCCCCCTTTACACACGTAATTGTGTTTGTATGAGGTGTGTGTGTGTGTGTAATACAGCACATCATAAACAAGTTAAACGGCCTTCTAAATGACAAGCATGACACTCAGAGGAATGAAAATCTCCCAGCATCCTCATGGAGACTTCCTTTTTGAACAAGAGCCAGAGATCTGAATTAAGAGCACAGATCTCTTCTCAACAAATACTATAGTCTAAAAAATACAACCCAGCACTGGGTAAAATATGGACAAACCCAGCTATTGGGTTGTTTTGACCCAGCGGTTGGGTTACTGCCCAGAAGGTTGGGTTAAACATTTAACCCAAGTGTTGGTTGAAAACAACCCAATCGCTGGGTTTGTCCATATTTTAGCCAGCGCTGAGTTGTATTTAACCCAGCATTTTTTTTTAGAGTGGACAACATCATCCACTCATTTAGCCTACAGCTGAAAGAACACAAAACTAATATCAACTTAAGCAGAGTCTAAATCAAACCAACAAGCATAATTTCTACACAAACATACAGTAACATGAATAGCCTAATTATTTATCTACTGGAAATATTATTAATGTTTATTCTCTCTTCTGTCATTCAGAAAACACAACATAATGCATAATGAGAGTGCAAAATGCACCTCATGGTTGCTCTATACGGCATATGTACGTTCAAGTTAATAAGTACGTGAATTACGGTGTTAAAACAGACAAGCTGGGGCAGAGAGCAGGTGAAATGACACATACCGATACCGAGGTGATGTCTGAACATGTCTTCTACCTGAGTTTATGAGCTGACGTAACAGGGAGTGATGCTCTAAACATAAAAGCAAGACGCAGCATTACGCTAGCTTCCATCCAAACAAACAAACACGCACAGAATTAAAATCACCCAGGTGAGCTCCCCAAACAAAGAAGTCCTTATCAGTGACAGTTACTGCTGGCTCTGTCAGTAAAGCTTCACATGAAACTACAATCAAACAGAAAAAGTGTGACAGTGGGTGCTTACAAATGAAATAAACAGATAAAAATCACCAAGCCGCCCTCAACAAAACTCTTCAGTGGAATTTCAACTTGATAAGTATCTCAAACAAATGGCAAACGAGGAATTTCCTCACAAGCTTGTGAGTCTGACATGAGCCTGATGTGTTCAAATATAGCGTTAGCAGATATCTGCCGTTGGTAATTCCGTTTGCAGACTTTCTATGACCACAGAGGCTTGCATGCAGGCAGGAAACCGACAAACATCAAAAACAAAACACAGTTGACAAAGTCTTCAAATGAGACTGTAAAACACGAAGCAGTCAAGCTTACTATACCATGAGAGATTCTCCACTGAAGTTGTCCTTTACTAAATCTCATAGCCCAGAAACAACAAACCAAAGTCTCTCCTCAAAGTCTCAAGTCAGTCACTCTGTGAGAGCTGCTCCCTTCCAAACCAAACTTCCCCTCCTACTCGTCCTGTCCCTCCTCCCTTTCCCCACTGTCCCTCCCCTCTATCTCTCTTTCCTATCTGTTAACATGCCTGGGAAATCTCTCCACAGCTCTGGACACTCCTCCTAAAAGCACATGGTCACCAATACAGGCATTTGGTTTCCTGTGTGCAGTATAACATCCCTTCTCTCAACTGAGGATGGGTCATGGTGGTCAACTCAGGGGCATCATGCAACTTTTTATATATAACCAGAGGCATGAATGACTTATATGTTAATGTCAAATTATTATAGCTTTTCTATTTAGCAAAAAAATAAAAAAATTGAACTAAACGTGCACCTAAACACCATACATTTTCAATTAGGAAATTTTTTTATGGGAAAAAGAAGTTATTTCAACAACAGTGGCACAAATTAATTACAATTTCTCCCAGATATAAAATACAATTGTAAAAAGACACTTTTTAAAAACTTTTATGTGGCTAAACATTATTTATTTATTTATTTAAAAAAAAAAATTTATTTATTAATAAATAAATAAATAGATAGCCAGTGATCACCATGCATCGTCAGCATCAACATTTCGTTTTTGATGAGAAAAAGTTTTTCCCAAAAATAAAATAATACAATACAAATATTTAAAACGGACTTGCCGTTCAATAAACTAGTTTGACATTGTTTTCTTACTTTTATTTTTTAGTTTTGCACTCCTAAAAATGCTACATTTAAGTAAAATAGTTCAAGCGTCTTTCAAGACCCTGCATTCTGATCAAATCTGTTCCTCTTGTGTAAAAGCTCTCTTAAAAAACACTTCTAACTGTGGTCAGTTAAACTGCAACCAACCTTATTATACTATACTATATTACAATCCTTACGTCAGGTTATCGAACTACTCTTTCAGGCAACCCACTGACTAGAAGACTTTAAAAATATGCAATTTTGCACCTCTTTAATGTCAGCTCCACAACAGCTAACTGAGCAGACATCACTGATACCACACAAATTCCACTGTTCTACAAAAAAAAAAAAAGACTAATTTATGAGGCCATTAACTGAGCAGGATGTCTTTTGACTGTGTGAAACAGAGATTAATGAGGGTTAGGCTGGCCAAAGACCTTCTTTGACCTGTCACCACACATTTTGTGCATTAGTGCTCATCCTTGGCCGAAAGAGAGGCCACATCAGAGGAACAAAGGAGAGCGAGAGAGTGGCTACAGCACAGGAAACAGAGGTTTGGGTGAGATTGCATTTGTCACAGACTCTTTTTCTTTCTATCTCTTTCTCTTTATCTTTGCCTTAAGGAAGGCCACTGGTAGATCCACAGGATGTGACCCACAAAAAATATGACTCAACCACAACCACTCCTGCCTGTGCCCTTTAGACTTATTCAATAACACACTCTGGCATGTTGTGGACTGCCTGAACTCAAATGCTCCAAACCCTGGTTGATTTAAATTAAGCATTATATTCCATAAGCTACTCGTGGTCCAAAATACTACAAAATACAACAAAATACAGCAACAGGAACAAACTGAAAAAAATAAAAAAAAAAACATTTGAATGGTGGGTCATGGTTGTTGATCTTATTGAGCAATGGGAAACCCCATCACTGTGGCAGCTGGGAACATCAAGGTATGAGTCACAATAAAAAAGCTTGTGACATCAGTTAATACTCACCGACTCTCACAGACACCAGATATGATTATTATGGATCAGTGTTCT